AAGTTAGAAATTTGAAGGTTTTCGAGAAGTTTGATCGGGAGTGGACTTTTTGATATTAGGATCGGATACCGATTCCGGAAGTTGGAGTAGGTCCGTAATGTCGAATGTGACTTGTGTGCAAAATTTGAGGTCAATCGGACGTGATTTAATAGGTTTCGACATCAAATGTAGAAGTTTGAAGTTCTACAGTTCATTAAACTTTAATTGGGATGCGATTCATGATTTTGATGTTGTTTGATGTGATTTGAAGGCTCGACTAAGTTCGTAATGTGTTTTGAAACGTGTTGATATAATTAGTTGAGGTCCCAAGGGTCTTGGGTGGATTCCGGAGGGTCAACGTATCGAGTTTGGATTTGGAAGATGTGCTGAAGCAGCTGTCATCTGGTGTAATCGCACCTGCGAGGTTTAGGCCACAGGTGCGGAGCCACAGAAGCAGCCATGAGGGTCGTAGAAGCGGTTCTGGCTAGGACCGCAGATGCGGTCGAGTTCTGCAAAAGCGGGACTGCTCCTACGCACGTGAGATCACAAAAGTGAAGGCGCAGAAGCGCTGTTAGGTCCGCAGATGCGGAGTTGAGTGGCCTAAAGGAGGACCGCAGAAGCGGTCAAGTGACCGCATGTGCGAAAATGTCGATGGGCTAAATGGTTTTAGGAGCGAGATTTGGCTCTTCTTCTCTCATTTTTCACTTGGTTGGGGCGATTTTAGAGAGCTTCTAAGGGAGATGCAACACAAGGTAAGTGATTCCCACTTATTATAATTTAAATACATGGTTTGTATAAAGATTTAAACATGAAATTTGTAGAAATTGTGGAATTTTTTGTAGAAAACCTAGAAATTGATATTTTTGGAGTTTGACCATGAAATTGGACATGGAACTTGGAATGAATTATATATTTGAGTTCGTAGTGTTATGCGTAAAGTTTATCTTCAAAAATTTTCGGAATCCGGGAATGTGGTCTCGGGGTGGGGGGGTGATTTTCAATGACTTTTCGAATGGAGTTAGAAATTGTTGTAAATAGGATTATAATGAGTATTAGAGTATATATTTATGGAATTTCTCATTTATTGACTAGTTTTGGAATGCTGGGCATTAATTTGAGTTGTTTGAAAGGCTTGGGAGCCGGCTATGGAACTTCGGAGCAAGGCTAGTCTCCTTTCTAACCTTATATGAGAGAATTAGCCCCATAGGTGAACTAAATTAAAATGTGCTTTATTTGTGGGTACTACGTACGTACGAGGTGACGAGAGTCCGTACCTAGCTACTAGCTATGCTTATGTCCGGGTAGTTTTAGGTTTACATCATGCCTTGTTGATATTGTTACTTGATTTATGGTTATTGTTTGCGTTGAGAAGAAGCGAGATTGAGGTTGCTTGTTAATTGTCTTGAAAAAAGTTGAAATTGAGGTATTTGAGATTTTACAAGTTTTCATTTGAACTTCGTATTTTTGAAAAGAATTGAGGAATATTATAATAACTTAAAAAATCTATATGTAACCCAGTCGCAATTATATTCTACGAGCGGGATAAATTTTCACTACTCTCGTGAGAGCGAGTCGTTCACCTCGGCACGTTAATAGATGCACCTATGGTTCGTGTCGTTCGACCCGTGCATAGTTTATATTTATATATTGGATCGGGCTATACGACCTCGACATGACTGGCGCATGATAACTCTTTGGAACTAATAATGATTGACTTTGCTTTATTGGCTTGAGATATAAATTGTTAAATGATGAAAGAATGAATTTGGGATCTTCCATTAGTAAAAAAGGATTGTTGACCGTTTTCGGTTAGTAAATTTTCAGTTATGTTATGTATTCCATGTTTAAATATAAAATTGGCATTTTATTGTTAGTCCATAGTAAGTGTCGAAGTCGACCCCTTGTCACTACTTCTTCGAGGTTAGACTGGATACTTACTGGGCACGCGCTAATTTACGTACTCATATTACACTTGTTGTACATTTTTGTGTAGGTACATATATGTCTAGAGGCCGTGTGAGAGCAGAGGCGAGGTTATTTGCGGGGACTTAGGTGACCTGCATTTTCATATTACGATCCGCAACCAGCACAGTCTCCTTCAGAGTTACTTATGTATTTTCCTGTCTAGATTGTATTTCGGACAGATGTTGTATTTTATTTTATCTTCCTAACTGATGCTCATGCACTTGTGACACCGGATTTTGGGATGATTATGGGTTATTCAGTATTGAAATTGTTAGAATGTTATTATTTACTCTGTAAATTCTATCTCTTACTATTTAATAATTGAAGAAAATTATGATTTCAAAAATAATAAAATGAGAACCAAATTAAATAATTATTGTTGGCTTGCCTGACAACGGTGTCCGGCGCCATCACGACCTTTAATGGATTTTGGGTCGTGACAGTTCCATCCAATCGCGGTCATTGTCATCATCCATGCTTATAAGCAGAGCATGATGGCCATGCTTGCTGAAATTTATTACTCCCCCACGGAAGATTTTGGGGGAGTAGAGGTTCATCATATGCGCTAGGGTTAGGGTTTCCCCGTCTCCGTGCACAACTGGCCAGACAAGCTACTATTTGCCACACAGAAGGGCCTACATGTGCCAAGCAGACCTTTTACCGATGGCATAACTCCAAAATCATCGGGTCAAGTCCCCCGCTCAAAGAAAATGGACTTAAAGTGGATGGGTATGTACACATATGTAAAATCCTTCTTGGTAAAGGCCACCCGCTCTACCAGGTTAGGAGCAATGATATTTAGGTCTTGATAGTTATATTCATCCTTCATAGTAGGGATTCTGGAAGGACGAATAGATGAAGAATACCTGCTAACAGGCCAAGTTCGAGGATTTGCAGAAGGGAACTTCTCTTGGAAGTCGTTCACGGTGCTCAAGTGTTTAGGTATGATGGTGCATGGGAGGATCAACATCAATATCAACCTCTTTATCTTTACTTCTCTTTGAGCCTCCACCGAAGAGAAGACCAGAGGTCTTGAAAGATTTAGTAAAAGAGGCCATAATGGTAAGAAGATAATAGAGTCTTTTGAAGAAGACCAGAGAGAGATGAAAGTAGAAGAAAGTTAAGTGCAAAAAAGATAAAAGAGTTTATGAAGTTATTAGAAGTGAAAGAGAAAATGAGGCGTATAAGTAAAGGTAGGGACGGCTAAAATCATGGTCATGATTACCTCGAGAACTGGTGAAAATATTGCTGAATCATGGAACAACACGTGTTTGAGTTATTAAATGCTGAGAGACGTGCGTCTCATCAAGTGTCAGAAACTGCTCAGAGGGTTTTAGAAGATTTCCTGCCACGAAAAGAATATTCACCAACTTCCCGATGATACAAAGATTTACCACCGGAAAGCAGGTGGACTATCTGTATAGAGCAAAACCGGTTTACATTAGATGACCCAATGATAGCATGACACGTCGAACTGGAGATAAGCGGAAGACAAGTCAAGTAAGAACGAAGGATGGGAACAACACTTGCAGATGGTATCGGGTGGACCCCGAATGGAGCATAATCAACAGGAGCAGGTCGAATGTTTGCTACCAGATGTTATTTAATGAAGAATATTCCCTATTATTAAATAGGCAGTCGTTGCAGATAATTTTGGCATTCATGGCTTGCCGTTACACATTCTTCAATGACCCCTTTATTGTCATTTAAGAGGGGCTTGATCCTAGGATCTTGTTTCCTAGGTATAGCTATAAATAGTGACTTCAACAACCATTATAGGACACGAAATATCTGGAAAAACTTATGCTATACTTCGTTCTCAAGCAAAATAATACAACTTTATTTTTTGTTTGATATTGTTCTTACTTCTGCCATCGGAAACATCGCCCCCGGAGTTAAACCTACCTTTTCCTTTGATTTTAACGCTAAGTCTTATTTTAATTTAATTTATTTATCATTTTGGATCAAATCAGTTCGCTTGTCTATTAACCACGTAACAAATTCAACTGTACTGTTTTATAGATAAATAAGATTGATATATTAAAAATAATGTGGTAGTAGACAAATATATAAATCTAGCTAGGAAAACTAGAAGTTCAAAATGGAAAATCTTTAATAGTAGTTGATGGTGTTCATTTATTAATTTTTTAGTACAACATAATATGATTTCTTTGTTGCTTATATTTGGTCTAAAAAAATATATTTCCAAGCCAAAGAATTCATTAATGAGGAAAAACTCAGATAAGAGTGAAACCGTTGTAATTTATATTGTTCTCTACTAAGATTTACTTTAAAATTAATGACTAACAAATTTTCACTTACTTTTATGTATAAGCAGTGAATCTTACTCTATTCCTTATCAACGTGCAATAGAATTTGTTCCCTTAACGTATAAATTCACTCTATAAACAAGCTTTGAATCATTTGAGGACTTTATGCGAAGTTGATAAATTTTTTGTTGTGAAAAAAGCTAAGTTAGCATAAATAGTTAGATTTTTGTGACCTTCCAATGGACAGTTTGATATTTATATCACTATATAATTTTGTATATTCGCATCCTAAATTTAATTTGGCTTTGCCGCTATTGAGTTTATTTTCATTCATGTTATAGTGACATACCACGCTGAGAAACAAATTAAGAATGCAAAAAAAAAAAAAAAAAAAAAAAAAAAAAAAAAAA